CAAACCTGATGTACGTAGCCGCATCAAATACGAATTGATCAGGAACAATATGTATAAAAAAATAATTTAATTGCACAAATGTATATGAACCACAAATCAGTTAAAATAATGTTTTTAATGTAAATTAACCACCTAGACATCCTAAACAATTTTGAAGTACTATATGAATGATTTATTGGACAATAGTTTTTATAAATGATTTCTCCCCACCCGATATGGATATGGATACAAATGCAAAAACTGTACTGTAATAACTTATCTAAGACATCAGTTGATGTAACTTTTACTGTCTACTACCGTTGCTTGAAAGCATTTAGTGAACTACCGGTAATTGAAACATCCTCTTATAACTGGTTTGTTAAGTATTGAGGACACAAATTAAAACACTATTCGACATCAGGAATTTGTTGGAAGTATCTGGAACACAAGTTGAGACGACTTTAAATGTTAACGTTTCTAACCAAGTGTCAGAACACATTAGACATTATTTTCAAGGTTGTAAAACAGGAAGGTTTATTTTGGTATATCCTGGTGTTTTAGCCGAACCTTATCTGCCTATAGGCTCCAGTTTCCCTCAGAAAGGTTTCTGCAGCTAACATTACTGTTCATGTCAGATTCAATTAAAGAAGCTGCTATGAACCATGGACTGGCATTATTAAAACCTGCTGTTACATCTAATGATGCAGGGTCTTGTTTATATCTCATCAACTATGTGGCATCCTCTAAACAAATCCTTGTATTATTTCTCTTTGAAAATGAAACATAGGGACTAGGAATGAGGACGGTTGTGATGTAATACTGGAAGAAACCTCTGCTTTGATATCATGATACTGGTTTTCAATGGTAACCTCACATTTGAGGTGAGATTCCATACCTGTATGTAGTCCTCTACTGATGTACGATTTATGGAATCTATCACTCTCAGGTATGTGATGCTGGCAGAGATATCTCAATCTAAGCTGTGATCTACGAAGTTTATCATGAAGATTTGCGGGGTGTAAAACTTCAAAACATTTATCTCCAGACTTGAGATTTCACGATTTCCATCACACATGAGTGATTAATTTTTCTCAAGAACTTTCTCCTGATTCAAAAATGCAGTAGTGAACCCTAGGTGTTGCACCATCATCAAGGGTGCATGTAATTCACGACAAAATTGACTGCAGCACCCAATCTTAGAATAAAAGCACATGTTATTCTCAAGGTAGCTAAATACTAAACGGGAAGACACTTAAGTTGCCAAAAACAAGGTTTGTTGAGTGTTTGGCAACTTACGAATCTATTCCTGAAAGGTTGAGATCCATAAATCTCGCCTCAACAGGTTGAATAATTATTTTTCTCTTACCCTGTTCACCCTTTCATGAAACATCATGTAATTTTAATGTTGCATGCTAAATTTTGACGCAATGTAATTGTATTATTGACGTGATGTCACACGATTATTATGAATAAAGGAATCCCCCCCCCCGTCTTAACCCTAGGGTGAGACAAGGATATCTCACTGGGTAAGGTTTAATCTTTTCCCTGGCAAAAACAGGAATGTACCGTGAAGTGTTGGGGGGAAAATGATGACCTTCTCAATGAATGAAAAACACATTGTGTTTTTTTAAGATCTTTAATCAAATAAAAAATTAGTGTTTTTAAAGATCTTTAATCAAATAAAAAATTAGTTTATTAACCAACCTCGGCAATATAGTGCATATTGCATATATAAAATAAATTACTGGAATGTGATCCAAGCCAGTCCTTATTTTACACACTGTAACTGCATTGTGTCTACTTATGTCACCCAGGAACCTTCCGAATCTCACAACTGTTTATTTGTTTTTACATCTTTTGAGTGCTATCTGTATCAGATGTTCACTGAAACTTGTCATTTGATAAGAATGGGAGCAAACTAAAACAGTAGACTGTCCGCAACCTGGAAAATAACAAAACTTCCCCATGCAGAACATCAGATGGGACAGATGCATGTAATTGATGTAAAGTCACAGCCCACTCCATAAGGATGGCTCAGGCTCTGCCCTCTTAATGTACGGTTTTTGGAACTTTTTTTCTCTGTACATATGTGAGTGGTTAACATTAGATGTGAGAGTTTGTGACTAATCTTTTCATTATGATTCATCATCTCAGGGGAAAAATCCTGTTGTGAAATGAGGAAGGAGAGGTAGAGTGGGTATCATTCCACAGAAGAAAGGAAGTCGGCTAAAATCTGCTGATTTCAAGGTTTTAATTTGACTGGAAGAGCTGTCTGTATCATGAGTCATACACAGCACAAGCCACCCCACAGAACTAGACTTGAGGCTTGTGTACCAGCACGCTGTTGTATCAGACATTTCATGGAATGTATCAGGCCAGACAACTCATTACACTGAAGTTTGGGTCTGTGGCTTGATATATTATAACTGATCCTTTATGGTTATAGATAAGAGGATGATGTTCTAATACAGTCTAAAAGTAGCATCGTTTTGTAGGAGAGAAGTGGTTGACAATGTCAGAAATAAATATAAAAATATCAACTTATCACGTTGCTATGTAGGATTATACATGTAAGATGAATGTAAGATACAAAACTGATGAAAGCTGTCAGCAATTCATATATATTCATCATTGCAGTTCTTGATATTTGAGATTGAAGACTTCTCATTGGCTTTTTCTAGCTAGTTGTCAAAAAGGCACATTTATTTGCATATGACATTATGTTTGTTGTTGTTGTGATTATCCAAACGTTTAACAAGCAGTAATGTCCCCTGTTTTAGAACTCTTTCAATGATTGATGGAATTAACCGAGTTTTCTGTTTATTTCCAGGTGGATTTACCAGTGTTTTTCTACATAGATCCGGAGTTCCAGGACAACCCTTTCCTTGCAGACTGTGACAATGTGGTTCTGTCCTACACATTTTTCCAGGCCAAACCAGGACTCCACCTACCCTTACCTGGCTTTCATTCTGCCAAGTCTTGACCACTGGTCAGGCAAGGCGTTTTCACTGCTCTAAGGTGAACTGGGCCTCTCCACTTGGCCAGGTAGACTCTCTAGTGTGTTCTGTGCAGCTGTGTACCTGATAAATAAGACTTTATAGTGTTTAGTTGGACTCAAGAGAATAATTTACAGGTATAATTTTGCTTTTGAAAACTGTGATTCTGGATAATATATCTGCAAAAATGCTTCATGGACTTCAATAAATTTGTACATATTTTGACCCTATCTGGTATTGATGTAAGTACAGACACCTGTCTATTGCAACCTCTGAGTATTCCGAGGTCCTGTAACACTAAATAAAACAAGTGTGACGTGATACCTCAATCTGTTTTGTCCTACAGGTTGTTAGCTAAGACAGGTTTCACTGTATTAAAAGCAATGTGTAAACTTTCTGTGATTTTGTAAAAATAATAAATTATAGAAATTATATTGGTTGTCTACTGTGTTTTAAAATCCTAATGTGGAATCCAACAACTATATGCATCCTTCTACATTCAGTGGTAATCACAAGGCTAATGGTAGGATGGTCAGTACTGTTTAATAATACTATCATAGGATGGTCAGCACATTCTTGTGATATGATGGTCAGCACACTCTAA